TGCCTATCCAGTATCCTCCCACTACTCCTTTGTCCTTTGAGTTCTCCAAAGCCGTGCTTCACTGCAGCCAAAATAATGCTGAGTGCTGTTACTTGGCATCAAAGTTACTGGGCGCGGAGGTTGCTTGGTCTGTAGCTAATGCAGGTCTTCAGGCTGCTACAAATCCTGAGGCATCGGGATACTCATCCTGTGCCAGTGGGGAATGGTGTTTTATTCTAGTTGATACCTTCTTGGAATAGTTGGCCTTGTCATAAAAAAAAAAAAATCTGTTTGCCTAGATATATAGCAGCGCTGGTTCCCTGGGTTAGTAGCTAATTATAAAATGCCCTGCAGTTCTCTTCCAAAGCAGGATGAATTTAAAAGGGCTTTTATATGTCTTATTTTTTGTGCAAGGTAAGGGTTTAAAGCACTCTCAGCTTCAGGAGCTCCTGAAGAGGCTCACAGAGGTGGCACAGCCAGTGCTGTGGCGTAGGCAGCTGGGAAGGGACGCAGGCCCCATTGCCTGGATAGGAGCCTGGGGCAGGATCAGTATCTTGGTTTTGCTTGTGCTTTTCAGATTTTGTTCATTGTGACCATAACACCACAGGGATCAGCAGCAGTCTTTTCCTTAGCTTCGGTGGGGTTTGCATCAGGTGCAGCGTGACTTGCTCTTCCAGCAGTGACTGCGGCATAAGAAGCGATTCTGCACCCAAGGTCCAGCCAGGACAAGTTGCAAGTGCTGGATGTCCCTTTGTCGGGGTGCTAATAAATAAGACTGGACCAGTCACTTAGGTTCTTAACTTGTCAGAGAGAAACCCACCTGCTGAGAGAGAAGCTTGTCCAGCAGTTGGTGAGAACCTTCCCTGGGGGTCCTGCCTGCTCAGTGGTAGGGTGGAGGCAATGTGGGGCATCGTGTTCAGTCTCTGATTTTCTTTCAAACGTTTTACCTTTGGGCTCTCTTGCAAACTCCTGGTCTTGATCTGCTTTCTGTGTCCTCTTTTCCTACCTTTGTGCTTGGCTTTCTACCTCTCCCTAGGTTCTCTGGTCCTTTCTAGCATGCTTCTTGACCACCTCAATCTTCATGCTTGCTTTCACACTTCTCTCCTTTCAATTAATGAATGTGTCAGAATCTTGTTACTCTCAAACTCTACACGTGTCTCTTTGCTTTACCAAAACCAAGCTGTTTTAAGAAGAAAAAAATAATTTCTAACCAAAACCCAACGAACAACCAGTCTTTCTTTTTGCATGTTGTGATGCAGATTTCCCATAACTGCAGTGTGTTTACATGCACGCAGAGGTATTTGAAACTACACATTCTGCATTTGAAGCATGTAGTTTACATCACCACAGGTGAGAAAAATGATTTATTTTTTCATTTACCTGGATGATAAATATAACCCCTGTCCAATCTGGGAGTGTTCAGGGGCCACCAGCAGCAGCTAGAGCTGTCTCCCAGCCTGCACTCTTCTGTCGTATTGAGGAAGACTGATTATACCTTTAATCATTGATATGAGGTGGGGTTACTCAAGATCTTATTGTTTGTAATTTATGGACTTGATGGAAAGGTTTCTGGAGGAGGGTCTCTCCATATATGCATAAAACTTCCCTGAATCTCTCTTTTGAGAGTGCACACACAGACAAAAATTTACACCATTTTCTCTGTAACCATAGGGAGGGAAATGAAAACAAGTTAATATTGCTGGATACAGCTTAAGGGCAACAGGATGCATCTCAAAGTAATTACTGAAGCTGGATTTTGGCCAGGACTCCAAGCCAATAGACTACTGAAGCCCAAAAGTATATGGTTTCTTTAACGATCATAAGTAATCAGGAGATCTTGTATTTGCATTTTATCTTAGAAGTGAGTGTTAGAAATGGGTGTAGCCAGCTGTCACACAATCCAGCTTAGAAGAATGCTTGCTTTTCCAGCCAGCAAGGCATCCGTGCAGCTGGAGGTTTTTCCTATACGTTTGGAAAAAAAACCCCAAACAAACCCAACCCTGTCAATAGCATATGAAAAGAGTTTGGTTTCTTTAATCTCAGAACTGTCTTAAACTGCACTTTAGGGAATATCTGGTAAAAATAATTGGTTTTTTCCCCCCTAAATATACACTAAAGGGTTGCCTAAACCTCAATGCAAAGATGATTTACATTGCTACAAGTTGCTTGTGAACCTCTGACATTATCTTACCACAGAGGTGAGAGTGGTATATTAAGTATGTGCTCCCATTGTGTTTCCTTTGGTTTGACCTTTTTTTACTACCAAAATGTTTCATCGATGCATATTTCAAATGCACGTCAACTTTCTGTCAAAAGCTGTGGTGAGAAGAAGCAATAGATTTTGCAGGAGTACATATTTATACATCCTACATCTTGCAGTTATGGGAATTTATTGTATACCCTATATTTTACTTTTTCTTCTTGTATTTTATAGTCTTACTTGCATGAGAAAAGCTGGAGAAATGCAGTGTGTGTATATATATGGAGAGAGAGACATAGTCAGTATTCAATGGAGATCTGATTTTAGCTCCTTTTCCCTCCAGTGGAGTCATCTTTTTACAGACTGACCTTTGCGTTGCCTTGGCTTTAAAAACAGTAAGAGCAGTCCCACGTTAGATCAAGCCTCAGGTTTTCAAATAAACTTTTTCAAGTCATCAGTGTCTTTGGTGTTTTTTTTTTCTTCTGTATGTAGTAGAGGTACAGTTTATTCTTCAGAAAGCAGCTAGTTCTCAAACAGTCTGAAGACTGGACTTGTCTTTGCTTTTCTTTTACAAGGTCTCCCTGACTTGCAGTCTCAGAGTGCTGATGTATTTGTGGTTTTATTTTCATCTGCAAGGTAAAATTCTCCATAACATAACATGTAACTGCAAATTAACTTTTCTGTGATGGAAACTTGCCTTGTTACGCAGTTATCTTTTTGCAAATTTTAGGCCTGTCTGTGGCTAAAGTAAGCTGATACAGCAAAAGCCTTGATTTGATGGGGAGTGGGATATTTCCCATCTTCTTTATGTAACCTGAGAAATGGCATTTTTAACTACATCAAGAATTAAACCAAAATACACATATGCTGTTGTAGTACTTGACTATATTTGATTTTACTGCTTGTTTTTAATATGCATTAGTACCTACGGCCAATTCTGTAACTACTAAAAGGAGAAACAATGAAGGGATGAATTCGCTATTCCCTAGCAAAGCAAAATCCTACACACCCGGCTCTGAGGAGTACATAGCGACCCCGTCATAGTACGGGGCTAGCTGTTCGCGTCTAGAAACGCAGACAAATCTTTCATGTTGCCACCCCGTTTGCATAAGAATCCCAGGCCTTAAAGCTGTCCTTCAGCTCCCCACCACGCTCTGCCAGTGGGCACCCGCACTGTTTGAACTCAGCACTGCTCCTTCACCTCAAGCTGTGTTTGCCGTAACTAGTGCAGAGTATGATGAGGGAAGAATGAAAAGATACAGGGCATTTTTAGCAGGCAGAGCTTCCACCATGCTGGGGCTGTGTGATGGGGAGAAGCTGCAGGTATGCTGGAGGTGTGGTGGTGGTGAGGGCTGACAGATCCCCCTGTGATGGGGACCTGGCACTGTCCCCCACTCTTGTGCTGCCTTCTGGTGCTCATTGCCGCTCTGCGGTGAGCCTGCCCTCCCCAGGGTGGTGTATTTGGTAAAGTGCGCAGTGGATGCTTCTGGTTGGTTTGGGGTTTTTTTTTTTGGATGTATTCCAGTTGTGGGCTGACATGGAGTCACCCAGTGGTTACAGCTCTGCTTTACCTGGGCTGTCTTTGGGCTAGATTTCTGCATCTGAATGGAGGACAGAGGACCTGCCTGTCTTCTGCAACCTCTGTTAGGACTTGCTGTGGACTTAGGCTGTGCAGAGGGAGAGGTCTCCCAGTTAACATGTAGAGAGGACATGATCTAGAAGACCAGAAGAAACTGATTTGGGGGGGATGAGGGCAAGACTGAAACAGACTGTGCTGCTCAGTGTGATCACTTGTTGGGAAGAGTGTATGACCATGAGAAATCGGAGATATGGGGGGGAGCGGGAAAGAACAGAGCCCCTACTGCAGGTAGGGGAGATGGACTGGACACAGGGCAAAGGCAAGAGTGCTGAAGTTACGCTTGCTGGGTGTGGACAGAAGGATACATTGCCACGGCAGTACTGTTGTCCAGATCTGGAAGAGGACATGCTTTTCCTGGGTCTCACTGCTTCTGAGCTTCCAAGTAACTTGAAATCTTGTGGCAGAGAGGGCTTTCTCTTTCCAGCGCTGGTCCACCACAAGAATGGCAACCTATGACTAATTTCAGTTACTTCACTTGCCCGGATGGCAGATCAGTAAGTTCCCGCTGTGCCACTGAACCTTAGTAGCATAGCAGGGTGCCCGGTGAGGACATTCCTGGGTTTGCAGCTCATTACTGGAAATCTAAATGACTAAATGCAAACGCTCACGTGGGGAGGGCACTGCTAGGGTTGCATGTGAAGCATCTCTCTGCTGCCAGAATGAGTGGTCTGTAAACACAGAGTTTGCTTCCTTTGCTACTACAGTAGAGCTGCTGATCGTCTGTTCGTGTGCTGCAAACTCCCTGCCCCACCAGTAAGCTGAAGGACTTGCTCAGGACTGTGTCTGGGTACTTTGCTGCTGCCCCTCTGTCCCAGTATCAGAAGCTGGAAAACATGCAGCACAGGAGGGAATTGCAGGAGGGCAGAGGAGCATTTCAGCAGTCTGGGGTGCTGGAGGCTGCCTTGAAGGATGAGTGGTAAAGGATTCAAAGTGGCAAGCATTCAAGTGCTTATGGATTTAGCATTTTAGCTAGTCATGCTAAATACAGAGTTGGGATGGACATCTGTTAGGCTATTAAAACTTGGTGCTTACAGGCTATGTTGCTGCTTAAGAATCTGACCAGAGAGAATACTGGGGGTGGGGGAGTAAAAAATGCCTTCAAGCCATGGAAAGTTAGCTTAGGCAATCAATAACAAAGCATCTTTGAAATTGCTAAAACAATGGAGGTTAATTTCGTAACAGAAGGGAGCTTCTGTGCCATTCGTGACGTTATCCGGTATTGAAAGATAATGAGGAAACTTCTTATCCTTTGATCAAATTTTAATAACACTGAGTAGGCATGGAAGCCTGTTATACTGTCAGGTCTTCAAAACCTCTCTGGGCAACCTATTTAAGTGTTTGACCACTCTGGCAGAAAAAAAGTTGTCTTATCTTCAGTTGTATCGTGTTTCAGTAGGTGCCCGCTGCCTCTTGTCCTACCAGTGGGCACCAGTGGGCAGTGCTGGTACCACCAGCTGGGCTGTAGCTGCTTGCTGATGGGGTTGCGCTACACACATGGCAGGTTTCAGCACACTGAATTAAATAGATGTGGTTGTTTTCCCTTTTAGCAGGGATTAAAATTCAGTCTTGGCATTTTTAATCCCCCTCCATCTTCTGCCCTGCCAGGGTATGCTTACGCCATTTTGGAAGACTCCCATGTCATCAAACAGGCTGCAAGGTTTCAAGGGCAGGTACAGAATTTTTGGATTCTGTGAAGACGCACCTGGCTGACACTCATTTCATCTTTTTTATTTAAAAGTTGCTTAATTCCTTTGGAAACAAGTATAGCAATGCTAACTTTCAGAATGGTTATTTGAAACAAGTTCTGCCTCTTAGTGTTGTGCTTTTTTCTGTTGAAACGGTGGCTTTTTGAGTTGCTTTTTAAACTTAGAGTTGAAGATTGATGGTAGATGAAGGTAAATCACTTTTGTACTGACAGTAACATATTTTGGGGGGATGTCACTAGTTTAAGCCAACTTACTACCATGTTGGTTTAAAAAAAAAAAAAAAGAATTTATTTGCAAGCAAAATGATGTATCGTGCAGCGTATCCAGATAATGACATGGGGGCTGGTGGGCTCCAGCCTCTGAGGTGCTGGCACTTTGGTTTCCCTGCAGCACAGCAGTTTATTTTGTGCCCGGCGGGCTGCTCTTGACAAGTAGCACATACTGCTGGGCTTTGCTAGAGAGGGGCCAGTGCACTTGGCACCCCACTGGATCAAGCCCAAAGGAAGTGTTGCATATTAGAGGAGGAAAAATCTACACTGTACTCTAAAAATACCACCTTTTTGCAGGTCGTGCTTTCTCTGTTCTCTTTCTAGGTCTCTCTAGTACCTGATATTATTCAGCAGTGGTAGACAGAGGTTTGCTGGACAAGTGCAGTGCTTTTATAGAAAGAGGCGTTCTGCGATTTCAGATTGCTCAAAGCTTTTTCCCTTTGCTGTGCTTATGGGGGGGAGGGAATCTAAATGTACGAGGGCAGAAATAATTTCCCTTTTCTTTAACAATTGCACCCATGATGTCAGCTGCCGCCAGTAATGTAGAGTGATAAATTGACATTGAACTTGAACAGAATTCATGGCGTGCTGGAGACAATAAGAACCTCTGAGGAAATAATTATTTTGCTGCCAGGAGCTCATGCATCTCAAATGGGTTGGTGCGGGGACTTTAGAGTAGCCTGCCTGCCTATTGACTGGAGTTGAGAGCTGGCGCTGCCGGCTCTGTGTTAGTGCAAGAAGTTAGGCATTGTGGTTTGCTCATAGCATGTCAGAAAAAAGAAAAGAGAGTGACAAAGGTCTGATGTTGACCACTTTTGCTTGCTTGCTTGCAGGGAGAGACGGTGAGTATTGAAAACCAAGTTCAGGAATACGCTTTTTGTCCTGTGAATATAGGGCTTTGGTACTCTCCCAGTGGCACTTACTGCAGACTCTTGGGTTTGGTTTCTAGCGAGTGGGAGGTTGCTCGCAGATTGCAGCAGCTCGAATTTAATGTGCTGTTCATGTGCTCGATTTGGTTTGGGGAGGGCAGAGCTGCTCTGATCAGGTGGCCATTGTTACTGATGGGGGTCACAATAATTAATTTTCCCATGAAAGGAATTAGTTTGCATTGTACCGAACACTTTTGCTACTTATTTTATGTTTGTTTTGGGGATGGCAGTTATAGCTCAAAAGCCTGATCAGGCTGCTTTCCTCTCCCACCCTCACTGAAGTCAGTTTGAAGGTTGAGGGTGCTCCATGCCAACCTATAATTAAGCTCTTGCTTTTCATTAGAATAAAACATAAATGACAATCTGGCACTCAGTTCCTGTTTACTTGCACTGAGAGTCAGGCACCTTGATGCCTTTTCTGCCTTTGGAAATTTCACTCTGTATTCAAAGGTCATGTTTTTGCAGAGAAACAATCTTTCAGCATGTAGTCTCTTTTCCTAAAAAATATTAGTACCTGCAAGGGAAAAGAAGAGAGAACCTCACAAAGTTTGTAGCCTTCTTATGTTTCGAAGAGATTTCTCAGCTGGGTTTTGACATCTTAAGTCGGGATATGTTAATTTGTGTGGGTCAAAGTTTTGGATGGTTCTAAGTTAGTTTATTTAATCCCTATCTAAATAGCAAAAGCAACCTTATATGAGTTTGCATTTTCATAGAATCATAGAATGGTTTGGGTTGGAAAGGACATTTAAAGGTCGTCTAGCCCAACCCCCCTGCAGTGAACAGGGACATCTTAACTAGATCGCTTTATTCTGAGCTGCTCTTGTACTTTGCATCACAGAGCATGGATCCTTGGATTCATCTTTCTTACTCTTTCTAGCTGTGCCTCTCAGCCCTCGATTGGGGCTTGGCTATGTCTAATGAACCTCCAAAATGCGAGACATGCAAAATAAAATTTTCATGCATGACAATTAACATATAGTGACATCATGCTTTCAGTAATAATAACTTTTATTAACAGTTTTGCAGTTTGTATTTTTCATGTGTATAACTTTACACTTGATGTCTGACAACATCTTTGCTGAGTGTGGAACAGCAGCTTAGACAATAAAGTTAAAATGAGGTTGAAAACTATGTCTGAACCACCGAAGGAAGGGTCATCTACCCTGAAGATATCTATTTGAGGTTCATAGCTTTTCAGTGATGCATCTCTGGCTGTATAAGCTTTATTTGAGCTCATCAGTTATGTTGTTACACTGTTTAGGACTAATTTTTATTTTTGGTCTTATTTAAGCATGTAGCAGTATAAAATGAAGTGTAATCAGTATGTTCTGTGGTGATGCTCTTGTGGTGATAACTGAGGGCAGTCTCAGGAGTGTCTATGACAAAGAAGAGCCTTCCAGTAAGACTTGCACCAGGAGGGTGCAGTATATTTCATCTCCGACTTCTCAGAGGAGTTCCTTGCTTTGGTCGGTGCTTTCAGGGTCCTGTGTTCAGTATCCTTCTTGTCTTCCTGCATGGCACTGAGGTCTTTAAATGCAGTGGAGGTGTTTCAAAGTTTATTACATGTACCAAATAAATGGTATAGGTAAATTAAATAGTAAAATTTTTTTTAAAAAAATAACAGTACCTTATGCGCAGTGAATTGGTTTGAGTAGCTGCTAAGGGAGGGGATGCACACTGGCTCATATTGACTGATGTAACATAGAATCTGGTGTTGAGACTGAGGCATGAATGAAAAGGTTATAAAATCTGAAATGCCTTCACCCCACAGAAGTGGCCCGTGGTGTTCTTTTTAGGAGAGTTTTGGCCAGTCACTGGGAAGAAGGTTTTGATGCCACTTGTGCTGCAGGGCAACACTTCTTCTGTGGCTAGAAAGTCTCAGTACCCTGTTTGTCCCATCTTTCTTTCAGTTGAAGCTACAGTTCACTTAATTGCTGAAAAACTAAGTCTTTCCTGGGGAGCTCCAGTCATTGTTGTACTAAAGGCACTTGTCTTCAGTCAGAAATTTACTGAAATAGTTATTCCAGAGTAAATATTCTGATATAATTATTCCAGGAAAAAAACCCAACCCTTTGTAGAGTCTTTCTTTACTGTGTAATGAAAGCACAGTTAGAGTTTTGGATATTTAATTAATAACAGGGGGATTGATTTCAGAAAAATGACAGTATTCCAAAATAATTATTGCAGTTCAGATATTCTATTAAATTGCCATGTACGAAAGCTTCCTACCGCTGTTACAAATAAAGCGATCTCTTAGTATTGCTTGAAGGCCTGTGCAGTACGTGGTGGCTTGATTTTTCTATATACAGCTCCATGCAAACACCCTGGTGTGAATTCAGAATGGGAGAGTTCTAGTCACAACAGGATAATAAGTAGAGAGAAAATAAGGGCTTGAGTATTATGTATGTAACTTGGGTTGTTTAAGCAAGCAGTGGTTATAACCACTTCTCTTTTCCTTTTAGCAGTATCCCATGTAATGCCAAAGCCATAAAATGGGCCATAAAATGAAAAGGTGAAAGGGCTCCTTGTCCTATATAATTACTAGACCTTAGCTCCTGTTCACTTACTCCCGTTGTAGGAATGCTTCGTCTCTGGTTCCCTGCACATATTCTTTACTGAATCGCTGGCATTTATACTGAAAACAAAAAAGGAGAACACTACCCTTTCAATCTTTTCTTCTGTTTTCTTTTAACTCGTGCTATTTAAAGAAGTAAAAAAAAAAAATCTAAATCTGTTAGTTTTTTCCATTTCTGCCTTGTAATAAATGTCTGGGATGCAAGGCACTAACAGCACTGATGCTGATAGGACATTGTTTGTTGCTTGACTGTCTCTGGTTCTGCGTTCTTCAGACTGCCTGAGATTAAATTTCTCTGGAGTCTCCCTGCTGACAGCAATATAAAGAGTTTTTGCACACTCCATTGTACTGACCTGTAATTGCGTGCCGTGGCTGCTGGGTGTCTGAGGGAATAGGAGCGGGCTGGTGGCACAGAGTGCAGGATTTCATGCTCGTTTTTGTGGAAGAGAGACAGTATATGCTAATATTCAGTTCCTTTTTCTGTGTCGACAAACAACTGTCAGTGACAGAGATAATCAAATAAATAAATGAAAATGTGTCCATAGCTAGCCCATGAGATAGGGATGCGAGATTGAAACCCTGACTGATTTTTGTGTTGTGATTGGATTCTAGTTGGTCAGATATAGTTTTCTACAGCAAGAATCCAAATGCTGTGATCATTACGCAGGTCACCCAGTTATGACAGACTCCTCTTTTGACTTCTCCAAGCCTCCTT